AGGAGGATTGTAAATTTTGAGCCCAGCCTGGCAATTTAGCCACTTAGTGAGACTCTGTCATATAATACAATACAATACAATACAATACAATACAATACAATACAATACAATACAATACAATACATACAATACAAAATTAAGAACTTGAGGTGTAGCTCAGTGTGAAGGCTGTGGGTTCAATCTCTAGGAATGCATGCATACATACATAAATATCAGCAGTGGTGGTAGGCACAAGATCTGGTTTTTAAAAAACGTTTTATTGTGTATGTTTGTGGTACATTATGATTATATTCACTTTGGGTTATAGATATATGTTCTAGTCACATCTTAGTCATCTTTACTCCCTCGGCCTCCATAGACATACGTACTAATCACATCTTACTCATCTTTACTCCCCTGGCCTTCCCAGACGCCCTTCCCATCTCTCCAGAGTCCTACCTCCCAGGTTCTTAACATGTCTCTTTTATTTTGCCCTTTAAATTATTTAACTTTTGGGCCTCATATTAGAGAAACCTTGCAATATTTAACCTTTGGTGACTGATTTATTTCACATAATATTGTGGTCTGAAACTCCTTCCATTTTTATACAAATGCCTCTAATTTATTCTTTATGGTTGAGTAATATGAGTATCAGAATTTTTAATCCATTCATCTGTTGCTAGGCACATGGGCTTGCTTCTGTGATTTAGGTATTGTGAGCTGTACTGTTATAAACATGGATATACATGTATCCCTGTAATATGGTGATATTAGCTCTTTCAGGAAGATACTCAGACATGGTATAGCTGGGTCAAATGGAATTTCTGTTTTTAATTTTTTGAGGCGTCTGCCTATTGCTTTCCTCAGTGGTTATATTAGTTTACATTCCCACCAACGCTTTTTCTCCACAACCTCACCAGCATTTGTTGTATTTGAGTGCTTGATAATAGCCATTTTCACTGGTGTAAGGTGGCATCTCAATAGTGAGGCCTGTTTTATACAGCAATCAGGAAAGACCCCTTAATGGCATTTGAGGAGCAAAAGAAAAGGAAAGGGAGGCAGTTATGTAAAAATCAGAGAGAAGTCCATGCAAAGGTAGCAAATGCAAGTGTGCTGAGGTAGAAAGAATAAACAGAATAGTCCTGTCAGCTGAACTGTATGGAAGCATGCAAGAGAGTGTTATGGGAGAAGGACAGAAAGGCAGCTGGAGGTGTGAGGAAGAGCAGATAGAAAGAGTTTACAGTTTGGTAGGGCGGTTTTATATGTGATGCCAACATAATGTAGGTTTGGGGGCCTTGAAGAGGTTACCTGATCTGATTTTTTTTTTTGTACTGGGCATTGAACACAGGGTCTTTCCACCAAGCTATATTTCCAGTCTCCCTATTCTTTTTATTTTTACTTTGAGACCGGGACTTGCTATATTGCTAAGTTATCTAGCCAAGGGCTTGAATTTGGGATCCTCCTGCCTCTGCCTCCCAGAATAACCTGATCTAATTACTATTTAAAAGATGACTTGGAGGGGGTGGGGATTTAGCTCAGCGGCACAGCACCTGCCTGGCAAGTGCAAGGTCATGAGTTCGATCCCCGGTACCAGAAAAAAAACAAAAACAAACAAACAAACAAACAAAAAAGATGACTTGGATTGTGTTATGGGAATTATGGAGGGGCAGGAGTAGAAATAGAAACATAAGTTGCAAGGCTACTATAGTTATCCAGTGGAGCCATACATGTTGGCTTAGGCCAGAGTATTTGAGGTAGAGGTGATGTAAAATGGTCAGATTCAGGGTATGTTTAGACATAGAGCCCAGAAGACTTTCTGGTGGCTTGGACATGGGGGTGAGAGCAATAGAATAGTTGAGAAGACTCTTAAGTTTGGAGGGAGTGGTACTGGGATGAAATTAGTTGGGCAGGACCACGTAAGGAACCTTGCGGGGTAGTGAGTGGTTCTGTTTGTATCTGTGCATTCTTTCCTCACTTTAAACCTTGAAAGTGGATTAGTTCCAGGAATAGTAAGATGTATTCTGTTATAGGTTAATGTTGAATCTGCCTACTTTTAGAAATATGTACATTCTATCTTTAAAATTCATTTAAAAATGAGATTTTGGAATAACAGTCTTCCAAAGATTTAAATTTAAACTTGAAAATGTACAAAATCTTCAACTTAATGATATATTCCTTCTGAATTTTAAGTACCCATTGCTGCTAAAGCAAGAAAAGGGAAAAGCCTTCAAGAAATGCACAAACATAAAAACAACTTTGTGTTTTAGAAATGTACTCATTTTATTTAAACCCTTCACGTACAACCAGTTGTTCAGCTGGTCATTTAGGGTGAAATTCTTCACCAGAATTTATCTGGATACAAATTACACTTCATACATAGGCATATAGTGAGGATATGGACAGCTTCTTTGTTCAAGCAGTTGTCACGTTTGCCAACAAATAGAGAAAATGTGGTAAGATAGCACAGTATCTTCCCTACTTTCATTTTAGCAAAAATGTAGTTAAATTTGCACCTAGGTATAAGAATCAGTGTGTTAGCATCAGCTGAAAGTATTTGTAGGTATATGGTCATAATCATAGTTACATTTCTTGAAATGTATTGGTTTTTGAGTTTTCTGAAATTTGTTATGCTGTTCTTAATCTGTTAAGCACAGATTCTTTGAGGATTTGAGAGCTGTGGCTCTCTTTAACCTTGTGGTATTCGAATTTTAGATTGGCTACTTTGCCCAGGGTTTTGGGGTGTCTCTTTAGTAAACATCATCTTGCAGTGTTTGAAAATTGTTTTTATTTCAAGGTTTGCATTTTTTTGGGATACTTATGACCACATTTTATCAAATATTTGTCATATGATTTTTTGAAAACTGGAACCAGAATTAACTGTTCTTCATCTTCTTTTGGCAGAGAAATTGCTTTTACTAGGCAACTTCATGAGAAAACATCTCAACTCAGCTATTATTATATGGGTTTCTACATTCACTCATGTCCCAAGATGAAATATAAGGTAAAGTTGATTTTCATACATTTGTCTGTTTTCCTTATAGAAAAATGAAACTTTAATAAATTTTTTATCTCTGGGCATAGGATTTGGAGCTTTGAAAGAGGGAGGAATAGGTTAATAAGGAAATCTCTTGGCTGTCTCAAAAAGTAAGCTTTCTGTAATGAGAACCACAGCCTGTGCTGGTCTTACTTTGAAATCCATCATGTTATTTTGAGATTAAAGTATATTTCAGAATTTCCCTTTTAAACAAAGATTGTATGACTTTCTTTAGTGAAACTCTTTGATGTTTCCTAAGTATTAGTGGAGGAGAGAACTGTACAGAGGAGCAGACTTCCCTCCCATCCACTGTGATTCTCCGCCATCACAAAGGGCTTTAAGGGCTGAAAATTCAAAAAGATACAGGCATGAGCACAACAGGTGAAGCTCTGAAGATTAAAAAAGATGTAAGCATGAGTCTCCTACTTAAAACGTGTAGTCTAAGTGAATCTGGGGACATTTTATATGCAGCCAAGGCTGTACAGTGGTTAGTAAGTGACCTAGAAATACATGAGGTTTTAATCCATAAGGTGGGGAAGAGGAAGAGAGGAGGGCCTCAAAAAAGAGTAGGTGTGACAGAGAAGCACATTTTAAGGAGCAGGAACAGTACAAGGAGTCAGGGATGACAGTGCCTATAGTCTATTCATAGGAAAAAAGGTGATCTGAGGACGAGGAAAGACCTTGAAAGCTGGCCTGAAGGACTCTGGCAATTGAGAAGTCATTGATGGTTTTCAGAGCAAAGAGCAGTATAAGTAAAAAATTTATTCGTATCTATAAACATGATTTTTAATTAAACATTAAGAATTTAAAAACAATCTAAAATTAAAAAATGTAGTCTCTGTATACCCAGTATCAGACATCAGCAATCATTATACGTCTTACTTTGCCTATTCCTTTACCTTATTCCGTCCTCTCCCCCCTTTTGAATAATTTTGCAGCAGATCTAAGATGTCTTTTATTTTAAAATATTTTAGTACTTTGAAAATGTAACCACAGTCTTGTCATACCTTAAATATAGTAGCAGTGTTTCCAGATACCATCTGATATCTAATCAGTGTTCATATTTTTCTAATTGTTTCATAGTTTTTTTCACTGTTGCTTTTCTTGACTTAAAACTTGAATATGGGATGTACGTTATATTTGGCTTTTTAATTTATACCCACCCCCTTTTGAGGTTGAATACTGAGTGGCTGATGGTTCTGTGTCAGAAAGTATGCATTCTAAAAGTGGGACTGACTTTGAGAGCAGAGTAAAAACCTTATCCTGTACATAGCTGGTTTTACATTGACAGTCCAGATAGTCTGATCCAAGTGTCCTGGCTTTTGGAGATTCTCTTTTGATCTGTTATTTGTTTGATCTCTCTTACACATTATAGAGAGAAAACTTCTGTATTTGGTTGTCTTCAAAATTACCTTTATGTCTGAATTACGAATTTACTTGATTTACCTAAACAGACATTCTTTTCAGAAGGACAAGTATGATCACATTTCTGTTTGCCCCAAAATATTACTTACTTAGTACTGTTTTTACTAGTGTTTTCTTGTAGCTCATTTTCCTGGTACAGTAATAGTTCTAAATTAGTTCAAAGTAGAAAACTCAAATGTTCCAGGTATTTGGATAGAATTATAAGACTCAAAAAGCTCTGGCTATGCTATATATTAACCTTCCTTTATATAGTAGTTGTACATGACCATTTTAATCAGAAGTGTTTTTATACCACACTTCAAGACTTGCTAGGATTTCATTTTTGACTGTTTAATGTCACAGAATTAGATGTTTAATGTTTAGTGTCAGAATATTTGTCTTGCAAGTTTTTTCCTATGCCTGAGCTAAATTCTAATTTGCTCTGTATTTTAATTTATTTCTGATTTTTTCAATGGAAATGCATCTGCTTTCATGATCTTTTTATTTTCATGAAGCCTTTTAACTCACCCCGTTATTGACTGTAGTCCAGACTAAGTATTTGATGTTCTTAGTTCTCCTAGGAAGGGATATCTCCTAGTTCTCTTAGGAAGAGAAATTAAAGTCAGTCCCTATATTGTTTTAAGGTAAGGATTTTTAAAAATACTTTTCATGCTGTTTAATTTGGCTTAATTGTATACAACCTAAATCCACCAGAATTATAGTTTCCAGATATTTATTTTATATGAGAGGTAAGTTGCCTGCCTTCCAGTTTTCCTTCTTTCCCTCACCAATGAAATATTTATTGAGCTCATACTGGACGTAACAGCAGTGAACGATGCAAGCAAGATCCTTAGTTTCATAGAACTCTACTGCAGAACCTAACAGTAAGTGAATAAAGAAGACAAATTTAAGATAGGAGCAGATACAGTGGGATGTGATAGATCTTAACTGAGTGTGACTACTTTTTTTTTTTGGTTTTTTCTCCGGTACCGGGAACCGAACTCACGACCTTGCGCTTGCCAGGCAGGCGCTTTTGCCGCTGAGCTAAATCCCCAGCCCCTAGTGTGACTACTTTATTAGAGTATGTAGTCAGGGTTGAGGTTTAATATTTAGGCAAAGATTTGAATGACAAGAAGATAGCCAGCCAATGGGAAGTTTGAGAGTTATTTCAAAGAGAGATTGTAGAAACAGCTAGTGTAGCACTGCTTAGCTATTGAATCTCCATAGTCATTAGTTTTATCTGCACAGTACTTTACAGAGCCCTAGAGAATATTTGTAAGTTCTGATACTTGGATCCTACTCTCAGAGATCTTAATTGGTCTGGGATCAGTAATCTTCATCTTTTGTTTTTATGAATGAATGGAGGATTCTGATATGTCAGACTTGAGAATCATTGTACCACATTATTTTTTTATATTTGAGAGCTGTGAGGAACATGAAAGATGATTATTTCCTATTTTAAAGTTTGCTGTTTTCAGAAATTCAGAAGTGATTAAATTTATTATTTTCATTACATATTATTTTATTTTTATTATTTTGAGGAAGCTCTGTTTTTACTTTGTCACCTTTCAGTTGTTTTTCTCAAATCTTTATGTATATTTTTTTCTCTTTTTTCCTGCCCCTTTGCCCATCCCCTTGCAAATTCTTCATCCATCATTCCTCAACCTAATCTGTTCTCGAGTCTAAGAGTAGATTTGACCACCCACGTAACTCCATAGTATTCTACATTTCTTCCCCAAATTCAAGTCTCTTTGTTTATACATTCCACGTGATATCTGAGGTTCCTGCTACGTGGAAGATACTTACTACTTGATAGATAATTTGTTCAGTTAATGAATGGCAGTACTAATGCTGAGGGTGAAGAACTATGTGGGATGTTTAACAAATATTTATTGAGTGCTAATTGGAAAGCTTTCACTTTGTGAATATCTTAGTAATAGATACATAATTCTAACAGAATGCTGTGTGCACTGGGATTGGGTATTTCAGAGTATATATAAATACTCTGATAGTATAGGGAGGCAGAGGCACAGAACTGTGTAGCAGTTTGGAGAAATTGCTTACTTATAGCTAGTTTCAGTTTTTATAACTGTAGAACAAGAATGGTATCAAAATGAGATTTATTATGTTAATATCTCCATTTGAATATGGAGTGTACCAGTTTGGGTAGCATTTATGAAGTCATTACCTATATTTTGTCAGGACCCATTAAGGTTCTGCCTGCTTATTGATAAATACCCAAACTTCCAAATGGGCTGTATCTTTAACCAAACTTTAATTTAGATGCTAGAAAAAAGGAGAGGGTGGATACTCTCTGAAAGTTCCCAGGATTGAGGACAGTTGTGTTTTACTCAGTGAGCAAAGCTGTTAGCCGAGATGCTACAAATGAGAACCTTTCAATAATAATCCTGCGTTCAGCTTTGGCTTTAGCTATTTAGGGAAAAAAGGATCTCTTACAGGTGAGGTGTTTGTTGACTAAAAAAAATGACTATTTTGCTCCACTGAAATGAGAGATTGGCACATTTGTCTTGAGACTATGAGGTGTTTTTCATCATTCATGGCAGTTTAACTAATACTCAGTTCAGGGTCATTTGTATCAGAGCATTTTTTCGTGCTAGCACAAATATAATAATATTCCTACTTATCCCACAAACTGAACCATTGAGTTGGAGGAGGAGGAGACAGGGGTGTGGTGTCATACTATGTCACACACTTTTTCCTTATCCCAAATGTTTGCATCAGAAGCTAAGATAGCGATTTCTGTTACTTAGGTATAAGATAGGTAATTCACATAACTTTATAGTCATGATAAGTTATTGCCACTTTATAACTGTCTTTTAATAGAAAGTTGCTGTGTCTGTGGAAGAGCTTACAGCAACAGTATCAGTATAAAAGATGACTTTGATTATGTATATTTCCTAGTACCAATAACTAATATGGTATGGGTTGGTAGAAATTATTTCAAAAGCAGATTGGTCTCTTAATAGATTAAGGCTAACACGAAAGCTAGTGTTTCCATGTGAAAATTCCGTGCTAGCATTTTCTGGGTATTTTTTAAAATCATGAATCCTGAAGAAAGCCAGTTGATAAAATAGGAAATTGGGAAACAGTGTTACAGTTCTTCCATTTCCACAAGAATTAAAGCTGAACAGTCAACATAAAAGTGTTACTGGTTTGAGGAAGCCATTAATGCCAAGTGGGAAGTGAAGGCAGGAGACCTTGATTTGGTGGTGTTCATAACTCAGGCTAATGTGTGAAGAAGCAGGAGAGGAGCTCAACAGGGAGCAGTCCACATCCGATATGTGGGTCTTGCTGGTGACTGTTGCTGTTATGGACACAGAGAGAGAGAGAGAGAGACAGAATGTGTGTGGGTGCATAGCAGTGTAAACATAAAAAATATTAACCAGTTTATATACAAATTATGTGAGTGATGTTCTGAGAAGCAGTAAGTTTTAGGAGCAAAATAAGTACATAAATTGCAGTTTGAACTGGAGATTCTATGTAGTGCTGCTAACTTGTTAAAAGATCCAAATATTAGGTTTTTTGAAATAATACCTAGTAAG